CCATCCATTACAGTAACCCACTTGTAACCTACTGTACAGCAGAGCGACATCCACGACTTACCCGCCTTTTTTAATTTCTCTCTAAATAAATAATTGACGAGTGTGATATATCAAAACAATACAATACGATTTTATAAGTATAATAGTTTTATAGTTTATGGTATATATTATGTACTTAATAATAAATTACACGGTTATACATTATTCAGTTAAGGATTGTAAATACAAACTTGTTTTAGATTCTGAGTGAAACTGTGGAGCTGGAACGATGAGTATGTTGATGTGTTTTATTTTTGAGTATCAGTTATCGCAGTGTTATCACCTATTTTGGGACAGTAAAAATGATTTGATTTTCTACTTCAGTATCTTTTCTGGAAGGGAAAAAATTTAGTTGGTACTTTGTACTTTGGTCGAAAGTAAAAACTTTTTAAGTGGTTTTCAAAAGAGAATATGCCTTCGTGTATTACGTATCATATAGTGTAGTTTTTACTACACATATTATGTAAAACCATCGAAATTGTCAGAAAGGAAAAGGAAACACAAAAATAGTCGTCACCGACGTCACCCAGAAGAATCGAGTTGAATTTATTTTTGTAACATTAACGTAATAACGTATAGGTACCTATTATTGAATTGTTATAACGACTAACGAGAACTAGACGCCGATCGCTGCACCTTTTGCTAAAAACAGAATCAGGTTCTACATATTATTTTATTACATTATCATTATTATTCTTCAACCTTTTTAAATAAAATGGTTGTGCTTGTATAAAAATTCTAGTGCTGAAGACTCCTTCTTTAAGCTCTAGTTACGCCTGTATTGACAAACCGTATACAAGTTCAGAATGGCAGAATCCTTTTTCGTACAGATAAGTACAATGATTAAAATATATCATTAAATTAAAATTTGACAMACCCATAACAGACTATACTGTGACCTATACAAACACATAATGCAGATATAATGATGCTTAACATTTAATGTTCATAAATAATATCACGACAATAATCACTTGCGTAGTTGCATACTTAGTAGTATACCTAAGTCAAAATAAGACAAAAGCTCAAAACAGTTTCTTTATAGTTTTATCTTTTATATTCAAACATTTTTTTTTTTTAATTATTGATTAGAACAAAAGTTATTTCATTTGTCAGAATGTTAGATCTCCGTGGAACACCGTGTATAGACTATACTCGTAATTATAATAGCTTTTTTTAATCCATGTTCGCACAAAATACTTATCATTTAAAATGTAATTCATAGCAACATTTAAAAAAATTGAATAATTTTTTCACTATAGATATTTTACATGCCTATTTCACAAGTTAGTTTTGGTAGGTACTTAAGAAGGCATACCAAAATAGTTAACTATCTATTTGCCCTATAAATTTATATAGGTAACGGAAATTTAAAATATAATTATRGTCAATTTACTGAACCTATTTTTGTTTTATAAATTAATAATAAATAATGTATAATTAAACTCACCCAAATAAAAATATTATTATACAATGCACTTCTTTCTTCAACGCACTTTAGGAAACAAGTATTAAGTATTTTGTCAAAGGGTAGAAATGCTTCCTGAAAAAGATAGGGGATAAATATTGTTAACGCCCTTTAATATTTCAATAACCAATGGCTAATGCCGACCTCCCACCCTTAAAATACATACCACCCATTTTGTTCACCCGATGCACTGCAGCCATGTTACTTAAACAGTTGATAATAATCTATTGAACTGTTTTTTTGTGATCAATGGTAGGTATTTATAGACTTATATAGCTGTATAGCTTACAATTTATAACAAACCATAATATAGTATATTTGTATTTTGTATGTACATAATATTGGTAGGTACGTAGGTGCCCACTATATAGTGTATTAAATTATCATAAATGTACCAATTATATGAGATCATGCGAGTATGGGTAAACGGTAATACATCATGCGTATAAATATAAACAATTTTAAAATTATGATTTATACGTAAATGGAATCGATATTATAGCAATATTATATATAGCCATATAAATTATTACTTTATAAAAACTGTATACTAGTAAGTATACTAAAATAATCGCGCAATAAGGTCACTCATGCACACGTAATTATCGTAAAGTAATGCACTAATATACGTACATATTGAAAAAGTTATGACGATATACAGCCCAATGCCCCAATATACATCATATTATGTATCTATAGATTGTAAATTATAATTATTTTAAATGACTAAAAAAAAAATCGACTGTGATTAAAATTAAATAATATTAAATCCTTATTAGCTCTCAAGATGTTATATATTATTGTGTATAAGTGTTACGTAACAACAGACGATATCCCTTTATAGGAGAAAGGTAAATATAATATATGCATTAATAAGCAAATAATCTTGCATACCTATATATAGTTAAAGACGTCGTCTACCACTTGAACATTTAAGATTCACACAATATCAAGTACCCTATACTGGCTATACTTATAATATATTATACATCATATACTTTTTTACATAATATATAGATCAAATAAGATTTAATCGCGCGCGTATTCAATTTATATAACCCCGATGGCCCGATAACCTTATAGGTACTTATAAAAGATACATACATATAGGTAGGTACATATTATATATTGTTATGGTATTATGTATTCTAAACACTAAAATATATGATGTAGATTTCGCACTTCATAGATTATTATATTTACTTGAGATTTGGTTATTGTATAAGTATGTGTATATAATATATATATATATAGTTTATAGACCTGTAGTCAGTTAGAATTACATTTTATGAACATAATATACATATAGTTATTGACTATATAAGTGAATAAGTATAGGCTACATATAGTTTATACATGGACCGAATAATATTTCATATTATATAAGATTATAATATAAAATAGGGTAGTATATGGCCATCATATATACTATATAGTATACAGGGTGATTCTTTTAAGTGGGTACACTAATTATCTCGAAAAGTATTTACTTTTTTCAAAATATTTTTTACATGTTTTCAAGTTGTTAAAAAAACCAACGTTTTTTATCCTTATCATTTTTTAAGTTTTTTACTTTTTTGAATGACAACATAGAGTTTTAATTTCATATTCCAAAGCARAATATTTTTCTAAGTATTTTGATTCATAAAAATCGAATTTAGGGCTAGTAGTTTTTGAGTTATAAGTATTTAAAGTTTAGATTGGCAGAGTGGAGTGGTACGGGCGGCGGGTTACCTCACAAAATGTTTGTCCACTACCTACTCCGCTTGTCTTAACTTTAAATACATATAACTCATGAACTACTCGTTCTAAATTCGATTTTTGTGAATCAAAATACTTAGAAAAATATTCTGCTTTGGAATATGAAATTAAAACTCTATGTTGTCATTCAAAAAAGTAAAAACTTAAAAAATGATAAGGATTAAAAATATTTAAAAAATATAAATTTTTAATAAAAACATTGGTTTTTTAACAACTTGAAACCATGTAAAAAAATATTTTGAAAAAAGTAAATACTTTTCGAGATAATTAGTGTACCCACTTAAAAGAATCACCCTGTATACTATTATATATAATTATAAGTAAATTAATGCTAGTAACCGTTGGTGAGAAGTATAAAGTATAGGTAATCGTGTTTTGCATAGTAAAATTAACTTATATATAGCTAGGTAATATTTTTAAATTTTGAGATTTTTCGTACTATACTTAAACTTAAAGGTGTTCTGTGGCCTGTGAAGATTCAATAACTTCTATATTTTTCAAAGATAAACCCAATTTTCTACTTTAAATTATTTAGCAGATAATTTTTCTGAAAATTTTGATGTATCAAAATTAATGTTGAATGAAAGTGTAGTTTTTGAGTTTTAATGTTTTATTCATATTTTTGCACTAAGAATAATAGGTTCATTCATCATTATGATTACTGATYATAACATCATGGTTTATTCAGTTTATTGGAAGATATATGGGCTATGGTGATTTGAAAATTTTTAGCAACAAATATTCTCCTTTTAACATTAATATTTTTTTTAAAAAGTCTAAGTAGAAATCTATAATAAACCCTAATATGTTCCTAATATTATATCTGATATTACATCTTTATATCTAAATTTTTGTAAAAAAAATTTTTATAAATAAAAAACTATTCATTTGAATTTGCAATTAGGTGTAGGTACCTACATACAATATCATATTATCATTGCATATACGAATTACGAATAATTTGCATCAGAATCATTATACTGAGCGGAGACGGTTTGTTGACTTAGGATATTTTATATATTATATGTATATATATTTATAAATARTTATTATTACTACTGCGTAGTCGGTATAGTTTAAATACTATTATTTGCTTATTATCATATTTATATATACTATATAATAATATATTTTAAAAGTTTCAAGTACCCACAAATAATATTTTTAAATTTCAACAATATAACTAAAACCGTGGTTATTCTTGATTATTTAACATTTAATTTCCTCCAAATTTAAGCTTAAAGTAACCGAACAAAAAAAACTTTGTTTATAATTTGTTTAGGTTTTTTTGTTACAGAATGAACTTATAACTTACGTGGAACCTTGTTTTTAAATTTCAATGCTCACCTTCACCTAGCTATAAAAGTTGAACGTTTTATACATTTTTTACTTCTAAATAATTTATAAATTTTGTTTAAATATAAAGTTTTTTTTTTATAATTATTTTTTTAAATATAATATTTTTTACTGGTATTGTAATAATATATTAGGAACCTTGTCTTAAATTTTCAAGCTTTCTGACCCAAAGAATAAAGTTGTATTGACATATAAAGAAAAAACTGAAAATTTTGAAAATCTGAAAATGTCAGTAAATTGCTCAAAACGAGTAAAAGTATTTTGATAGGTTTATCAAGTATAGCCAGTATAGGCAATGTTAAAATAAATATTTGATGAGTAATTATTCGTTTTTTAATCATAACTAGGTAAATAGGAAAATCGTTCCATGAGAAATCAAGTGAATATCCAATATTAAGGGCCAGGATAGTTTTATGTAAAAATAAAAATTCAACTATGTGTATATTATTAATAATTAAAGGTAGATAGGTATAGTTGTATAGATTGAAATTTAAACAAACTCTGATGGTGAATCATTCTGTATAGGTATACTATAACATAAATTAGGTATACAAAGTAAGTAATATAGTTATAGGTATTACATTGTTATATTATACAGAGTAATCAGCTATACCATGAACTGCATATGTATATAGCGTGGCACTGCAGTGCCTACACTCCCCAGCATCTAAGCATAGATAAAATTGTAATTTTATGCTTATGTGTGTATATATAGTACCTAATAGCTAGTGTATAAATGCGTATATAATATTACTACCTATATAGTGAAGTGATGATAATAATTTCACTGTACGTATGTTGTCTGTATATACTTGACCTAACCGCCAAACCAGGGTGACGTGGCTGTTCTTTGCCTTTACAATTACCTAAGCACGTATGTATAAGACTATTCTCAGTACTCGAAAGTCAATACTAAATACTCTCTCACACACACACACACACACACTCTTACATATACATATATAAACTATAATTCTATTACATGTTATATGTATATATATATATTATACATATATACAAGGCCACAAGGGCTGGGGTTAATACGACGGAGGGACTTGCGCACGTGCGCAGACCGATCGGACGACGATGATGATGGTGATCGAGCGGCGCGCGACGGCCACGCTCCGTTTTTTGTGCGATAACGTCGTCGCATAGTTAGTTCGCACACGCGCATACTGCCCGTCATATTATATACCACCTACTTATTTCGGCGACTCGTTCTCGAGGATAAAAAATCGTCTAACAATAATAATATTCGAATCGAGTGCACGAGCAGGCGTCGGCCGTAGGTCCTGCTCAACGGCGATAATCCACAAGCCCCAAGCCGATATTGTAGTATTATGTATTATTATTATTATTATTATTATTACTATAGCGGCCAAAAGGATGAAAAAAACTCGACGCCATTACGCGCGCCACTGGTTGCAGTAATTGTTAAATCATTTTATTGTGCGTCCGCGCCAGCTATCGCACGTTTACGAGTATTATTTAGGTATCGTAAAGTCAACGACGACGCGTGCCGAAATCAATTTCTCGTAATGATGTGATATTATTTTATGCAAAATGTGCTAAATGCGTGCGGGTGCGATACAACTTACATTAATATGTTTTTTATATAAATAACGTTTACGGTATGCTGCAAGAGGGGATGTGGCCGATGTGGGGCTCGGTTGGTTTCAACTATACCGGGATTTTAAGATAATTTGTTGGTGTGTTGATAGGGGGCTGTTCAATTGATGGTTTTTTTTAAATTTTTAAATCTTTTAGTCGACAAATCTGCAGCCTAATTCATTTTTTTATTCATTTATTTTAAGTGTTAACACCCCAAAAGGGATATAGATTAAAGGTACAAATAATAGTATATAATAAATGTATCACGTAGGTCTAATTATTTAAACAAGGAGGAAAGGAAAAAAGCAACAAA